TGTTGGGTATACCTCCTTATTGGAGTGTGGGACCCAATTGGTTTTGGTAAAAGAGTTTTAATTTGGTTTGGTTTAGGTATAATATATTTTTATATATTATATTTAATTTGTGGAGACCCAATCCAATTTAAAAACAACTAGGGTTTGATTACAAAACCAAAGATTTATATATATATATATATATATGTGGCGTGGTTTTTGGAAAAACATACACAGTTTCGGAATTGGTGAACTAATAGCAGTGTTTTTCAAGTTCGGTGGGCTTTTGTTCCTTAAGCACTGTTTGAAGTTTTGGTTGACAACTTCGGCATTGAAGAAGTTGATTTGGTGAAGTTATTTTGGGTCTTCTTCAACTCTGGTTCTGAAGATTTTGGTTCATCTATTTGGTGAGGTCTTTCCTCTTGTTTATTTGTGATTATTTGGAATTCACCTAAGGGTGGTTTTGTGAGACCATTAGTGTCTCGTTTGTAATTGTTTGGAATTTATTTGGTTGATAGTGGAATCGGATTTCGATCCCATGGACGTACCTTACATTAAGGAAACCACGTAAAAATTCTTGTGTTGCCTTTGATTTAATTTTTCCGCATTAGTTTTTATTCCCATTGATTGATTTACTTGTAGGGAATCACATATTTTCCCTAACACGTGCTTCATAAGTAGTACCCCTTTTATCAATTTTGTGTTGGCTATTTGTATTAAGAATAATACATTTTTTTCTCGTATAATTTAGTAAAATTTCAAAATTATTTCCATTTTACAGAAACAAAAATGAGATACTAAACAAGTTTTTGTTTCCCATTTTCAAAATATTTGTAAAACATAAACAAAAGATTATAAAGATAAACATTACCAAATCAGAGTTTAAGAGCTTAACCAAAAGAAAAACCAGGAAATAATGAGAGGAGATGTTGATCCTTGGCTTGTTACCCAATCTTTGTTGAGAAGTGTTGATCTTGATAAGTATTGAATATTAACCACTCAACCATAGATCGAACTATTTCTCTGTATCTTGGTTGTATTTTTTTCTAATCATTGCAAACCGCAATGACTGTGGACATACATATGCCTAATTTTGGGATGAACCACCTTCAATCTTGTGTTCTTGTGTGTACATATGATTTACAATTCCTATTTTGTTCCTTTGTATTTTCATGTCTTTCCTATCCTGATTAGGTATTCCGCATAGGCAACAACTGGCCAAAGATCTTGATCTAACAAGTGGAACACCTTGGACTAACCTATGAGCTAGTGCATTGAAACATCTAATAATGTTGTGTCTTTTGTGCTGTTTATGTTTTTTGTCACGTTCTTTTTCTTTTTCTTTTTTTTAAATAAAGGTTTAACACTGGAAGATTAATGAGGAATGCTACTTCAATGTATTTTTTTTTTAAGTTTAATTTCATTGTTTTTGGTAGTGTACTTGTATATCCTTTGGCTAAAAATGTAAAATCACTTTGATAATATGTTTTAGGATAAAGATTGTCATGCTTTGGCTTCAATCCTTTGTTATGAATCAAACAAAAATGGTGCTTTCAAAGGTGCTATCAAGGAGAATGTATCAATACACAAAAGTAGGCTAAAAAATTGAGAGTTTGATTGTGCTTGGCCAAATTATTGTGCTAGAAATTGTTTGCTAGTGTGCTTGTTTGTGTAATATAACTGTTTATGAGTGCTTATTTGTTATTTAACTGTTTGTGAGCAAATTGTTGGAGTATTCTATGACTTGTTTATAGTCAAAATATGAAATATGAGTAGAGCTTGTGACTCCAAATTTACACGGTTTTAGCAGATTAAGGTGTTTGGTATGGCCTTCCACTTCAACTGAGAGGAACAAAGCATTTGATTTGACAATATATCCTTTATTTCTCATAAAGGTTGCATACATGATAACATCACTTACTCCGCAAATGGAGGAACAAGAGCAAGAAAGTGAACCTCGAGGAAGCTCATGCGTGAGCAGAAACAGAGTTCTCAATCACCCACCAACTTTTTTTTGAACAAACCACCCACCAATTGGTTCAAGGATTTTATTGTTGTATAAAATGTGTGATAACATATAACAAATAAATTCATATATTTAACTATTTGAATTTCATGTTGGAAATTACACATAGATAGAACAAAAATTCATAAACAATAAAATTGCAGAAGAAAGCAAACCGAAGTCTGCACTAGACAGTGTCCTTAAACCAGATTCGACGTATACATTCCTGCAGCCTACACATCTGGCTTGGCCCAAAAAGATTAAGATGGGTGGGCCAAGCCCAACCCCCACACTTAATCCGTTCCAGCAAGCCCAAGCCCAAGCCTAAGCCCAAGATCCCCAGACCCGGCCCGATTCGGGCGGGCGGGCAGGTGGCGTGTGTGTGCATATGGCATTTTTTGTATAACCAACTTGGTATGCAAAAAATGGGTTTTAAATACCCATCAATGCTCTCCTCTATAATCAATGTGGGATAGAGATTTTTGCACCTTTTCCAACCCCTCTTTCATGAGACCAACTTAATGAGTCAATGTCTTATTCAAACCTTAATGGTTTTTTGTCATTATTTTTGTGGTGTAAAGATCTCACTACAAAGAATCTAAACCCATTTTACTTCACCTCAATTGAGGATTGGCACCCACTTCAATATTGTATTAAAGTCATCAAAAAACCATATTTTTCCAACATTTATATGGTCAGCGGTGGAGCCATTTCGAGCATCTAAAATGTTATCTTCACTAGCACCACTGCCAGTGTTTCTCTACAAAAGTAAGGTGACTTGTTTATAGTCAAAATATGAAATATGAGTAGAGCTTGTGACTCCAAATTTACACGGTTTTAGCAGATTAAGGTGTTTGGTATGGCCTTCCACTTCAACTGAGAGGAACAAAGCATTTGATTTGACAATATATCCTTTATTTCTCATATAGGTTGCATACATGATAACATCACTTACTCCGCAAATGGAGGAACAAGAGCAAGAAAGTGAACCTCGAGGAAGCTCATGCGTGAGCAGAAACAGAGTTCTCAATCACCCACCAACTTTTTTTTGAACAAACCACCCACCAATTGGTTCAAGGATTTTATTGTTGTATAAAATGTGTGATAACATATAACAAATAAATTCATATATTTAACTATTTGAATTTCATGTTGGAAATTACACATAGATAGAACAAAAATTCATAAACAATAAAATTGCAGAAGAAAGCAAACCGAAGTCTGCACTAGACAGTGTCCTTAAACCAGATTCGACGTATACATTCCTGCAGCCTACACATCTGGCTTGGCCCAAAAAGATTAAGATGGGTGGGCCAAGCCCAACCCCCACACTTAATCCGTTCCAGCAAGCCCAAGCCCAAGCCTAAGCCCAAGATCCCCAGACCCGACCCGATTCGGGCGGGCGGGCAGGTGGCGTGTGTGTGCATATGGCATTTTTTGTATAACCAACTTGGTATGCAAAAAATGGGTTTTAAATACCCATCAATGCTCTCCTCTATAATCAATGTGGGATAGAGATTTTTGCACCTTTTCCAACCCCTCTTTCATGAGACCAACTTAATGAGTCAATGTCTTATTCAAACCTTAATGGTTTTTTGTCATTATTTTTGTGGTGTAAAGATCTCACTACAAAGAATCTAAACCCATTTTACTTCACCTCAATTGAGGATTGGCACCCACTTAAATATTGTATTAAAGTCATCAAAAAACCATATTTTTCCAACATTTATATGGTCAGCGGTGGAGCCATTTCGAGCATCTAAAATGTTATCTTCACTAGCACCATTGCCAGTGTTTCTCTACAAAAGTAAGGATCAAAGATAAATTTTAATAACAGACAAGTTGAAGTAATAATTTTTATTTTTTAAAAGGGACAAGCGCATCTGATATTTACATTTGTTTCTCAATGTGTTATGTTCTTGATTTTCTTTGCCACATTACTTTGTGGGTGTTTGGGAAGTGAGTTTTTTTGTAGGTTTTTTTAGTTGTAGGATATTATTGGAGAATACTTTTTTTTTTTGTGTTTGGGAAGATAGTTGGATTTTTTTGTGGTTGCATGTGATATTTGTGAGAGAAAAAGTGAAATGATTATGGGGTTTGATGTGATATTCTGTTTGGATTTGTTTTTTTTGGTTTTGTAAAACATTTGTCTTGTAGTGAAAAAAAACCCAAAAATCAAGTTCCCAAACACCCCCACAAGTTTTGAATCATTATTCATGATCTTTAACAAATAGAAAACTAAAATACAAAATTAGAAGCTTTTGTATTTGGTGCAAAGTGAATTTCAAATAATTAACACTACTAAAAAAAGGGGCTTTAGACACGAAATTTTTTGGGACGGTTTGAAAACCGTTGCAAAAAGCATAAAAAAACACAGCAGGAAAAGTGATTGTGAAATTAATTTTTCTGCAATGAAAAATTTAAGACTATGACAAAAACTAATATTATACGTGACGGTTTGTTACCCGTCATAATTTTTTTTTTTTTTTAAGACGCCTTTTGTTTGTCCGTCCCAAAATGATTTATTTTTGTTTATTCGTCCGTCTTCACCTCTAACACTCTCTCGCTCCTAGTCAAGTCACTCGTAGCAGCAGCAGCAGCAGCAACGGCGGGGACTTCCCTCCCACATCCAGGTATGTCTCTCCTCGCCTGTCCACTCCTCTGTTTCTCTTTTTTTTTCCTTCATTGGATACAAACCCTCTTCATTGGATTTAACTAGAAAAATAGATTAGATCAAACCCTAAAGACAAAACTCAGAACAAGCTTTATCAATCACCTCTATTATATTACAAAAAATACTGTGTAATGTATTACTCTGTAACCCTGAATATATTGCTCTGTAATTTATACACCAAACCCTCTTAATTTGTTGCTCTGTAATTTCTTTTGCCTTCTGTAATTTATTGCTCTGTAATCTATTATATACCGATCCCTTTATACATTAGATTCTGGATGCACAAATAAATGCTTTCAGATGACGAAGGGAAAAATGAGAACACGACACAGTATTTATTTTATGATATAAAACAATGCTCTTCTTTGGCCATGAACTCAATAAAAAAATATTTTGTCATTAGCAAACTGACCTCTAATGCCTCATTAACAGCTTCGACAGACCAGTGTGGGGCAAAATATCTTCTCAGATCCTTATTTGCATATGACCGCATTGACTCGTCTCAAACAAACGTCTCAGGACATGATTTTGAAAACATTCTTCCACCAAGATCAGCTGAAAAAACTTGCTGGTTTTGCATATTTCTACCTTCCTGTGGTGCTTCTTGTTAATTTATATGCATCGTTGGCAAAGAATTGAAAGCAACATTATATGCTTTGGGCAGTCATTGCAAATTTGATGGGCTGCCACTCCCCGCAATTTTAGATGGTTCTACACGTAATTCATTTACCGAATCACAAGCTATTTGAAGAAAGAAAATTTTGAGAACATCAGATCAATAACTAACAACCTTAGGACCCATATAATACATGCATTCCACAAATATAGAGGCGAATGCAGAGAAGAGTAAAAGATAAAAGACCAAAACTTGAAAAACCAAACCAAATAAGTTCAGATTCCAAGTAGATTCACTTGAGGTTTAAGACATATACAAATGAATTATCTATATTTTTAAAAATTCTCTTGCCATAGCGCATTATTATAGAGAAAACTTATGAAGTGAATAGAAGTAATAGGGAAGTTTTGGCATAGATTTCAGATATTAGTTCTCAATATGTGTTTTCTGAAAACCGTTAACATATTTGAGAACATGAGTTTAGTATTGTTGACAATCATATATATGTATAGAGAGAGAGAGAGAGGGGGGGAGAGAGAGAGAGACGTTCTGGTCTAAAAACTGGTTATGTTAACTGGTTCTTTCTAACTTGGTTTTTTAAAAACAGTTTCTGAGAACAACAAACCCCCAAAAATTTGATTCTATGTTTTGTCTTGGTGACTTTGAGTACAAAAAACAACTTTAGAAGTTTTAATCGTAGACATTGTGCAACAGGTTAAGGGCAATCAACCTATAACATGAGAGATATCACAATACATTTTGTAATAAGTCTAGATCACATAAATTGATCAGGAAATCGGATACATAGGCTTCGTTTGGAAAGCAAAAGTTGGGGCTTTTTTGGCTTTTTTAACCACAAAAAACAAAATAGGTTTTTTAGCCCAATTAGACAAAACATCACATCCAATCTATAATCATTACATTCTTTCTCTCACAAAAAAGCCAAAAAAGCCTAAAGCCCTTCCCAAACCAAGCTTTTTAGCCTAAGGCTAAAATAGTCAAAAAAAGTCAAAAAGCCAACCCACTTCCCAAACGAACCTAAAGTATGGATGGAGAAATTTTTTAGAAGTGGACCCATTAAGAATTTTTGTTCATACTTGTATTTTATTTTATTTATGTGTTTAGTTTTTATGTTGGTAACAAAATTATAAAAAATTAAGCAGAGTTCTTAAGATGCATCAAATTCCAAGTATTGATGCTAAATTTCGTCTACATTCTTACGAATAAGGAAAATAGAATAGTGCAGCCATCATGGTATTGGTGGCCCATTTTAGAGCAGCCATAAACAAAGCATGATTACATGTTTCTAAGTAAGAACATTCAATCCCATGGATAATCAAATCCTATGGGTAGTCTATAACTAAAATTGTTTGTCAACATATATACTATCCCTCCAAAAGTCATGTCCCATGTTCCAATACATTTTTGAGTTGCATATCATGTTTTGGAATTTTTGCATTTTTAGATTCTCTCCACGTTGTTTGATTGAAAATATATTAGGAATAGAGAGGACGTAATTTTATGATAGAAGATCATTATTAGTTTTCATGAACCAATATTGTCTGGTAATTTTTTGTTTATAACATGTGCAAAAGGCTATACATGACATGTTTAAGGGTGATTAGGGTTGTAAACGAATATAGTCAAGTTTTTGTCATATCTTCAGACATAGGTATGTGAGATTATTGGGAAAGTAGGGATCGGAGTCCTTAGCACTAGATTCATGAAATGGTGGGCACAAGCCATTATATGATCCTCGACTGTAGGCGCGCCCGCGGAGGGGCCCCTGCTACAGTTCGGACTCGATTTGGTGTCACGGTCCTTAATCTGAACCAAAGAGTCCAAATCTGGCAAATCGTTTTGAGAAACAGATTTTTGAGAAAGTAGTGCCAAACATGGACTGCTTTGCCAGATACAGAGTCACCACCTAAATATTTTTTTAAAATAGGGGAATTTAGGAAACCTTGACTCGGTGCCGAAGGCCACATGTCCGTCATCACCGGAGTTATCTCGGCTCGGGAGCTTGGGTACGATCGGGGAAGGTCAGCTATGAGCACCCCCTCTCGCCCGGTCTGAAGGCCGGCCTCTACTAACCGTGATATCCAATTTTGAAAGCGTTATGTGTTCTCAAACCGGTTATTAGCCTAGAATTACTATGTTGTGCGCGCAGCAAACAAGTATAGACCGAATCACCCAAATTGGAATAAAACATTTCATGTTTGTTTTGAAATTGGTTTGCTACTCGCAAGTAGGCTAAAATGCGGATTTTGCCACCCTCAAATGGGCTTTTAGAAAAGATGATTTTGCCACTATCTAGTGGGCTTAATATTGTCTGGTAATTTTTTGTTTATAACATGTGCAAAAGGCTATACATGACATGTTTAAGGGTGATTAGGGTTGTAAACGAATATAGTCAAGTTTTTGTCATATCTTCAGACATAGGTATGTGAGATTATTGGGAAAGTAGGGATCGGAGTCCTTAGCACTAGATTCATGAAATGGTGGGCACAAGCCATTATATGATCCTCGACACGGTGTTGAAGCATTATGTGGAATGAAAGGAATTGAACGAATTATGATGAAATGAATTTGATAAACTTGATTCATGAACCAAAACTACTGATAGTCTTCATGAAACATCAAATTGATGTTCAAATTGTAACACCCTGAATCCACATACATGCTTACATCACAACAAGCATAACCTTCTATCAACAGTTATCTTTCTCATTGAACTAAGATCCAAAAGTTTACAATCATTATGGTTTACATATTCAAAACATTGTAATCTCATCCCCAAGTTTAATAAATTAGATGATTTTACAGCAAAATGAGCCTCAAGGGCATACAAAATAAGAACTACAAAAAAATATAGAAGTCCCTATACAAAATCCCAATTCAAGGCAATCAGAATGTTCTCCAGCCTACTTTCCTCAAAACGAGCACTTGTTTGCTTCTTATCCTCACTGGGGTGGAATGTTGTCATTTCCTGAAAAATTAATTAGGGTTGAGCAATTGCCCAGTAGGAAAACATTTAACCAAGTATTTAATTATTTGAATAAGCTCATGGCACTATTGTAGAAACAGTACACTTAATCATTTGTAATGGATAGGTCAAATAGGCAAACAAATCAATCATTAAATAATTCACATCTCCACATTGCATCTAAACACCATCAAACAAAGAGGATAGCACCATGAGTCCTTTACAAGAGTCTGAGTCAAAACATAAATCATTTTTCTTTAAAACAGTCCCACGCAGTTACTGACTATTATACGACAGGACGTGGGCACCCAAAAACATTTTTAAGTTGAAAACAACCCCCACATTTACTGACTATTATACGGCAGGACGTGGGCACTCAAAATCATATGTTTTTCCACTTTTACTGACTACAATACGACAGGACCAGTGGACACCCAAAACCATTTTTCCCCACCTTTGTCCGGCGATAAGCCCATGACAAAAGGGTACCTTGACTTTCCACCGCGCGGGTACTAGCACAACTTACCCTTAAAACCGACTCCTATCTAGGACTCATGCCAAAAACAAACACCAATTCACCAACCATCATTTAGTCAACAAACATTCAACACTCCATGAGCTAATACACAACATAGCATTCAACAAGAACCAATGTCCAATCCACAATCCCATCACAACAACATCATGTATTTCATCTCTTTACTTTTCACACCTTTAAGAAAATCCCAAGCTAAATACCATTCTCTACTTATTTATCAAAAAAAAAAAAATACCATTCTCTACTTGATTTGAAATTAGGGTTTTAATCAAATTGGGGGTTTTCTCCCCTTCTTCACATGTGTGAGTTTACTTGTCATTAATATGCCTACTTGTGAAAATAATTTAGGAAATTCACAATAAAAGTTGAGTAAAACACTTATTGGGATGAAATAGTAATTTACTCCAATTAAATCATTAAATGAGGTCATACTCTACAACAATACCATAAATATCTCTTCAAAACAAGCGAATACTAGGTTAAGAGTAACCCTACCTCGATGATCAAGCAAGGTAGCAAGGCTTCTAAGAGAATCATTTGCAAATTCTAAATTTCAATCGGTAGAAAAGTGATATCTACAACTCTTCTTCACCTTTTGATAAGTAATCTTGGACAAATCTTAGTGAAATGGAAGGTATTTTAGAGTGAGAATCTAGGGTTTTCGAAAATGAGAAGAGAGGAAAGAAGATAGGAAAGAAAATGGTAAAGAAATGATCTAGAATGTCCTTTTTAATTTGTTGATTTCGCGCAATCCGCTTGAACGCAACTTCTTATGCTCGAGCATAAGACAAACTCGGAAAGCTTGCACAAGCGACAGATCCGTCGCTCGAGCGTAAAATGACAAGTCCCAGAAGTTTTGTAGAGTCACAGTGAAACAACTGGGAGCCAACATTCTCTGCTCGAGCGCAACTTCCTGTGCCCGAGCGACCCACCTGCAAACTCGAGAGATTCTGAGACTTGAAATTCTCTGCTCGAGCAGGCGCCTGAAACAAAATGTCACACAAATGTGGTGTCTGATTCATGAGATGGTGGGTACAAGTTACAACCCTTGGTATAATCCTTGGGCAGAACATGGTGAGGCCTTAGTAAATAGTCCCTAGAATGGGAGGCATATTGGTTACATTCATACTAGTTAATTTTGAGTCCGATTTTGTTTACACTTGATAATGTATGTGAATAGAATAGACTATGATTGGTTAAAATAGTGGAGTTTTTCATTTTATATGGGTCTATCATACTTTAAATAGAGTGAATCATACTGTTTTAACTAATCACAATGTGTGTTTTGTTCTCACCTTTTAGTGTGTTTGAACAAAATAATTATCATTAATTTTATAATTGTCTTCTTAATTTGATAACTATAATTTCAATTGCATCAATTTTGCTCTGTAATTTTCTGAACAGTTAGTTTAATCCATTTGTAATTTGTCTCTCTCTCTAGACAACAAAATTTAGTCTATCATCCAAAAATTGGACACTGGTGTGGCCCTTCTAGCAAAGGGTGTTTATTATAGCCCTACTGACAAAAAAAGATGTTCTTGTAACAAAAGCCAATGGCACCCATGTGTGTGACGCGCATCCACTTGATAGGGGAATGGATGACAAAATCCATCAATGTCCCAAATATTAGAGATGGATGGTTTGGTGAGTAGTCATAAGTGTGTTGAGTGTTAAAAACACAAAATAGATTTTATAATGATTCATAAAAAATATAACGGAAGAGTGAAATTATATGTAAGTATGAAAACGTTTACATTTAAGACTTATTATTATATATTTTTTGTAATTTCTTCTGCATTTTAATTTTGCGTTTTTAATAGTTTTAAGTTTCTTATCTTGAAAGCCAAGTGGGGAAGCTATCCTTTTAGTAAGTGCTTTTCCTACATGGGGGATGCTTTGATCCCTAGAATGGGGACCTCTTTGAGAGATAAGAACATGAATACTCTTTTTTATTGCTACAAAAAGTAATTCCCATTCAAACTTCATAGCACTTTTTGATATAAATTATGTTTATTAAATATCTAATTTCAGTGAGTTGGAAAAAAAAAAATTCCAATTTCATCACAATTCTGTCATTGAATATAAATACGATTAACAAATCATACCATGAATATCATAAGTACCGGATGCATTGAGTGGCCATTATGAACCTAGGGATTATGAGGCCGATGAGAACCCACATACATCACCAGCAGATGATGAGGTAAAACTTTCAGACAATTTCAAAACTTGCCGTTTGTGAAAACTTAACTTTTTCTTTTTCCGAAACAGTTGACTCACTAAAATAGTCAAACGGTGTCGAATGTTAACGAAACTTGGCACACACGACTAACTAGGTACAAATGACTTGTAGGAAAAAAACAGGACTCGAAACTGATTCTCGGTTTTGAATCTAGAGTCTAATCTCTGTTTATGAAAACTTGTTCTTTCGAAATTCTTTTTCTGAATCGGTTGACTCACTAAAATGGTCAAACGGCGTCGGATGTCAACGAAACTTGACACACAAGACTAACTAGTCACAAATGATTTGTACAAAAAAAAGGGGACTTGAAAGCGATTCCCGATTTTGAATCTAGAGCCTAATTTCTGTTTGTGAAAACTTGTTCTTTAGAAATTCTTTTTTCGAATCTGTTGACTCAGTAAAATGGTCAAACGGCGTCAGATGTCAACGAAACTTGACACACGACGAACTAGGTACAAATGACTTGTAAGAGAAGACGAGACTCAAAATTGTTTCCCGGTTTTGAATATAGAGCCTAATTTCCGTTTATGAAAACTTGTCCTTTAGAAACTATTTTTCCAAACCGGTTGACTCACTAAAATGGACAAACAGCGTCGGATGTCCACGAAATTTGACACATACGCCGAACTAGGCACAAATGATTTGTAGGAGAAGACAAGACTCAAAATCTTCTCCCGGTTTTGAATCTAGAGTCTAATTTCCATTTACGAAAACTTCATTCTTTAGAAACTCTTTTTCGAACCGATTGACTCACTAAAATGCTCAAATGGCATCGGATGTCAACGAAACTTGACACAATTGACTAACTAGGCACAAATGACCTGTAGGAAAAGACGGAACTCGAAACCGATTCCCGGTTTTGAATTTAGAGCCAGATTTCCGTTTGTGAAAATTTGTCCTTTAAAAACTCTTTTCGAACCGGTTGACACATTAAAATGCTCAAATGGCGTCGAATGTTAACGAAACTTGACACACATGACTAACTAGGCACAAATGACTTGTAGGAAAAGACGGAACTCGAAACCAATTCCCGGTTTTGAATCTAGAGCCAAATTTCCGTTTGTGAAAACTTGTCCTTTTGAAACTCTTTTGCAAACCGGTTGACACTAAAATGCTCAACGACATCGGATGTCAACGAAACTTGACACACTTGACTAACTAGGCACAAATGAATTGTAGGAAAAGACGAACTCAAAACCGGTTCCGGTTTTAAATCTAGAGCCAAATTCCCGGTTGTGAAAACAAGTCCTTTAGAAACTCTACTTTTCATCTTTTGTGTTTATTCAATTATTGTTAGATTATAGCGCAATGCGTTCAATCACTACCTAATTTTAATAGTATTATCATCATTGTAGGATGTAATTAAAGTTTCCTGGGATAGTTCACGTATACCAATAGTCCAATTGGCGGAGGGACTTCTTATTAGTAACGATCCGTTGTGTGAAATTGATGGAGTTCCAATTGGCCCTGCATATTGCAGAGTCTTTGTCTTAAAAGCGAAAAAGCCGAACACTCTTTTGGAAACATCATTCGGAGGTCTAAGAATAGTTGAAGCTGTTGCAAGATACATTGTGTGGCGCTCGATTCATGTATATGTTACAATCTTATTTATTTATTTATTTATTGAAATAAATGTCAAATGTTTTACATTTTCTGTAAGCTTGAAATTAATCATATTGGAAATGTTTTATTTTTTGGTTTCCTTTTGCAGATGCAACCTTTTTGAGTACGTGATGATATCTTCGTATATCGATATTGGAGCTTACAATCTTATTTATTTATTTGTTGAAATAAATATCAAATGTTCTATATTTTCTGTAAGCTTGAAATTAATTTTATTGTAAATGAATTTTTTTTTTGGTTTCTTTTTGCAGATGCAACCCTTTTGAGTACATGATAATATCTTTGCATATCAATATTGGAGCTTACAATCTTATTTATTTATTTTTTTTGGAAATAAATATAAAATGTTTTACATTTTTTGTAAGTTTGAAATTAATTATTGTAAATGATTATTTTTTTTTTTTGTTTCTTTTTGCAGATTCAACTCTTTTGAGTATGTGATGATATCTTTGCAAATCGTTATTGGAGTTTGTTGTTGATATTAAACGCTACAAGAAAAGAGCCCAAATAACACGGAACTTTTTGCGACGGTATAGGTACTGTCGCAAAAAATGGTTTTTTGCAACGACATTTTCAAGCCGTCTCAAAAAATGGTTTTTTGCAATGGCATTTTCAAACCGTCTCAAAAAATAGTCTTTTGCGACGGTAGTGACCCCGTCGCTAATGAATATATCACAAAAAAACATAAAACATTTGCGATGCCTGACGAACCATCACAATTTTTTTTTTTTTTGAGACGGGAACATTTACCGTTGCAAAAGTCTTGTTAAAACGACGTCATTTTAACTGTTAGGATTTATCGTTTGCGACGGTTTAAGTACGCCGTCGCAAAAAAGTAACGAAATTTTTTCTATCCCGCTCATTTTAGCCAATTCGCGGTCATGTGTTTTCCCAAAATCCCCAAACCTTTTTGAACCAACCCAAAATCCCTAAAATCTTTAAAACCAAAATCCCCAAAACCTTTTTGAAGCAAAGTCCCCAAAGCCCTTGAGCCAAAATTCAACGACGGTGATCGACGACGGCTAGCAGCGAGGGAGCAGCGAGTGACGACGGTCATCAACGACGACGACGAGCAACAGCGAGTGACGACGGCGACGGCGAGTGACGACGGTGACGGCGAGTGACAACTGTATGCCCTCTATCTATCTCTCCCTAATTACAACTCCATCATCATTATTGGTTTTGTTGTATTCATCACACCATCATCAATAGAAAGACATTGGTTAGTTTTTGTTTCGTCTCCCTCAAATGCTAACACTGGATATAAGATTGTGTGGGTATACTAGCTAGGATCTGACTGTGTCATCTTGTACAAATTGATCACTAGCTAGGATCTGACTGTGTCATCTTGTACAAATAGATCAAATTTACTCACTAGGTCGCTGTTTGGCAACTTGACTTTTTAGGTGATTTTTTATGGTGTGAAAAAAACTAATGAGTTATGAATGATTTTTTTAGTTGAATATATATTTGTGAGAAAAAAAAAATGATTAATATGCATAATATGACATTTTGATTTTTAAACGTTTTTGTCATTTTTTGAGCCAAAAAGCCACAGACCAAACAGATCCAACCTTCAAATGTGTTCTAATTAGCTTTAATTTCAGCCAACATGAATCTCTATATATGACGGAAATTGATAAGGAAAACTAATTTTTTACTTTTTTTTTTTTTTTAAATTTTTCGATAGTCATGGACTATTAGGTGATATTATGCATGTAGTGTGTGTTCTTAGTCAATTACATAATGAAAATCTTTATGAGTAAAATAATACTAAATCACGTGTATCTAGAAAATAATGGATATCGGTGATACCAGTTAGTTCTAATTGATTTAATCTGTTGGTTTTGTTGTATTCTAATTGATTTCATCTCCATATTAAAACTATGGAGATGAAAGTGAATTTTGAGTCAAACTATAAGGGTGAAAAGTGTAACTGACCCATATTTATTTTTCTGTTCTATATTTTGGGTTAGAAATTTTGAGCATAACCACGCTATTCCAAGAAAGTATTTTTTGTGAAATAGGATTCTGTCAATACTACTGATTTTTTTTCTGGTGGTTTTGTATAGTTGGGTCTTAGGGAGTGTGGTTCTGGACTTATTTTCTTTTGTGGATTTTATTGATTCTTTACATGTCTAAATGTAGGTTGGAGTGGGGCTGGTTGTGGCTGTATTTGTAGCATCATCTTGATGCCCTTTTTCTAATAAAATGGTTACTCTTTAATTATCAAAAAAAAAAAAAGAAAGAAAGAACTGAAGCATAAAGTTCCATTTTTTATCAATGTGTCAGATTGACAGAATAATCTACGTTTATGTTGCTGGTGGTCTTGGTACAATAATTCTTTGCACTAATTAAATTTGAATCATCACTAGAGCATATGGCTAAAGTGATTTGTTGAATGATACTGACATTGGTTGTGTGTAAATGCCATTGACAGTGCTGAATAGCACCTAGAAAGGAGTCAACTGGCCACTTTTGACTGGAGTTTTTGTTTGTTTGTTTGTTTGTTTGTTTTGTTTTGTGTGTTTAATTCTTGTCCTTGATAACAAGTAATGAAACGACAGAGAACAAAAATTGTTACAATGCAAGAGATGAGGAGTTAGACTTTATTCTCTGTTCCCCTCTCTCTCTCTGTCTACATATATATATATATGGTGATGTTGACTAGTTTTTTTTATAATACTGTTTAAGTACCCCAGTAATAAAATAAAGTCAGTAGTATTGACATTCTTTTCTTCAAATCGCAATTGACACAGTTCAATTTTTATTTAATTAGTGATGAACCCTAAATTTGGTCAATGCTTATAAATTGTTTTATTGTTTCGTGCATGATTGCTAACTGATATTTTGTAAGGAAATGGCACCTGAAGGTTTGTTTCCTGGTGAAGGTCAAAGGGGAGCTGTTGGTGACTATAACAATCTTAAATACCCAAAACTTGAAGATATGCTAGATTATATTCTTAAACAGCAGCCAGCATTACTAGAGGCCACAGAAATGAGGGAGGCAAAGCTTCTTTTCCCTTCAAAAACATATGTGGCTATGATCAAATTTCTGTTGAAATGCTTTGAGGCAGATGCAGAACAATACAGGACAGTAGAAAGAATTCTGGAGTATTGGCCTTCAGTGGAGAATATGTGTTTGCTACTGGAACATGCTATGGCATATGAAGGCTCTGTTGAGTTGCATTCAAATGCCTCCAAGGCACTAATCACAATTGGAACTTATTTTCAAGAGGTTATTTCAGGGATTTCTTTTGCTTTCTTGTTTAGTTTGTATCTCCTAGTTGTGTCTTCCTTTTTAATGGATCATTTTCATCTAGATGATAGCATCACGTTATGCCATGAAAATTTCATGGTTAAAGCAATTTTTGGGTCACATGGATTTCGATACCCGTGACGCTATAGCACGTTTACTTGGAATTGCTTCCCATGCTCTTCCTGCTTCCCATAGCTTATTTTATCAAATTAATTAAGTCATTTTTGCCTCATAAGTTGTAAGTAGAAGTTGCGGCAAACACTCTGGCTAAACTCCCAAAATAAAAGGAATACCATAAGCACCCCCAGAAGTTTCTCCAAATGGGGCCAACAAATATATGCGGTCTAAGAAACACATACACTGACACCAGGGGAAGCAATTTTGAAGGGGAAAAAAATGAAGGATACAAACATGGTGGGGATACATGAAAAAGGTATATTTTTGTAAAATTTTATCTGCTATGTATATGGATATAAATTTAGGGCACAGTGATACAAGTGGCATTAATGTGTATGTGAGTGTATACTTTTTTTCCCTACTTTTTTCTTTTGTTTTCATATATTTTATTTTACCCCAAATCAACTGTATAAAATTATACAAAAAAACACAAAGGTGTCGTAAGGCGTGTTTTAGTCACTTGACACATGTATCCGTGAAGTGTTCCCAACATGACTTGCAAAAAATAATAGTTAAAATAATTGACACACCACATGGCATACCGCGACGTGTAGACATTTGTCCACTGCTTGTCGGTATCCGATGTGTCGGACATGGACAATGTATCCATTTTGGACTGTGTGCTTTCTAATATGTGGTTGCTTAACTGTTTAGATATCATAATTCATTGTTTAGCTTTGGCTGTTCTCTCGTATTACCTACGCTCCTAACATGTTTATTCATGTCCTCGTGGCTCTCACAATTGATTCTCAAACGATTGGAAATATTGAGTCTTAGGATTGTGTATGGATTAACTTGTAAGCGCATACAGACCTCATAGGCTGTTGTGCCTGTGTGCTTCAATTATTGGATGTGTACGTGTCAAATATGCATCTGGAAATGTCTTATTAATGTGAATTTTCTTTAAAATTAGTCTCTCAAACATAATGACATGCTGCAAACAAAGGATGGGCAATTGTGTCTGTCTTTTGATTCGACATGCTTGGGATCATACACATCAGATTTGTTTAGGTTCCTCATCCTCTATTCTCAATCTCTATTGTAAAGAAAGAGGTGGAAACACCAGAACTGAAAAATGGTGCAGTCAAAGCTATTCAAGATCTCTATGATGTCGTGCGCCTTGATGTCCTTAATCTCAACATGAGGTTGGTTCAACTGGCTAATCTCTTTCTTGCACTAGTATATTATGCAATTATTCTGCAGCTCTCTTTATACAACTTTCCATGTATGCATTTTTGTTAGAGAACACTATGAGACTTGGAATATGTTGTCAAAAGCAAGGAATGAAGGTCGTCTATTTATCAACTTAAACTGGCCACGAGATGCTGAATTGGTATGCTTGATGCACATTCAGTCATTTATTACTTTGACTTTGAGGTATAGTAATTCTCAAAAAATTGCAGAGAGCACAAGTAAAATGATTGTATTCCCTTTTTGAGTATCAAAGACTCAGTGGCAAATATTCCCAAGAATCTTGAGGCTAGGCGAAGGTTGGAATTCTTCACAAATTCCCTCTTCATGGATATGCCCCCTGCCAAACCAGTCCGTGAGATGTTGTCCTTCAGGTAATATCTTTTGTTTGATGCACTATTTTGGCTTTGTTTTTTTAACACGCTTTGATAGTAAGTTTGTTGTTATTTCCATTTCTTTGTTTTATGTAGTGTGTTCACGCCATATTATTCTGAGACTGTTCTGTATAGCATGGATGAACTTCTAAAGAAAAATGAAGATGGGATATCAATTTTATTTTACCTCCAGAAGATATATCCAGGTATACTCAATTATACTGCACTTCGTTGGAAGTTGTATCTGCTTTCTGTCATGTAGAACTTTAGTGACCAAATGGGAGAAGTATGTTTGTTCATATCATCTATTTGTCATTCTTAGCATCTATGTTGATGACTGTTAGAAGCATAAATACATTCCTTCACTTGGGCTTACACTCGGAAATTATTTTTAGAGACTTCCATCTGTCTCAAATATTGGCTTGAGTCTGAGTTGTGCAACTTTCATATATAGATCAGCTTTGATGGTTTTTATTGATTTTTTATTTTATTTTTTATATTAGTACTACTTTGGTTTTTGGTAGATGTTGTTAGTGTATGGGGTGGTCTTCCATCCTGCATACATTGGATGTACTTGGGTTGTGTCCCTTTTGGTGCATTTAGAGTGGATTGTTTTACGTGGTAAAAGGAATTCTCTTATATAAATATTTTGGAAGCTTCTCAACAATACATCGTTGAATTTTAACTAGACATTGGAATTGCTCCTATAATCCTATTTCTCTCTCCTCAAATTTTCAAACCAAAAAAATTCATCCAAAAAAGAAAATGATGTTTTTGAACTTGTCATTGTTTTTGTTTTCAGAAATATGAAAAATAGAAATACAACCAAACATGTCCTATGTTTTTTCTCTTTCTTGAGAGGGAGGTTGCGGCATTGAGATGGCTCATGTTAGGCTTATGTTTAACCTGAACTTGGCATGTGTTGATGTTTTCTTTCCTTTAGCTTGAATAAATTCCCTACAGAGCCCAGAGTAAGTTTAGGCATGGTTTTTCAATATGTAGTACACTTAAGAGTTTTGATGGTGATTGTTAATTGAACTGGTTTGGATGACTAATATGCATCATTATTGGAAGAAAGATTTGAATGGGTGATTCATATTATTATTTTTCCATTGTTATGTTTTTATGTTGGGTACGTTATCAAAAAGAAGATTGCGTGTTTTTTTTTGTTTTTAATAAATTTTCTCTACTAATATATTTCCTCACACATAGAAAAACATAATAAACTCTAGTCAAAGGTTTAAAACATTTTATTAGTGTGATGTGGTCTATGAAGCACCGACACTTCAAAACAAGTGCAATATCCGTGTCGCACACACAGACACTTTAGGGACACACCATATGGCGTGTCCCCTTATTTAATTAATTTATTTTTAGGGGACACACTGGGGACACTTCGAGAACACATTAGGGATATGCCAAGTTGTCTTTTTCCCCATTTTATTTAGTGCTTTTGATGAATGTTGAATGTTTATTATTATTTTTCTTAGATTTAAATACATAATAGACCATCCATTAAAAAAGATATAAACTGTAAGTGTTAATTTAAAAACGTTTTTTTTTTTTTAAAAAAAAGAAAAGAATTAAAGTTAGTTTTTGTTAATATCGATTGTTTGTGGATGTAATATTAATCTAGATAGCAAATAAAAATATATGAAAACATATTTTATTGTCGTGTCTCCGCTGTGTCCGTGCCCCTATTTTTTTGAAATCGCCGTGTCCGCATCCGTGTCCATGCTTCTTAGGATGTGGTGCTAGCTATTATGATTATTTGAAAATTTTGCGTATTTTCTGCGTTGTGCACTGCTACATTATTTTTTGTACCGTAAATCTTGCCTATATGATTTACTGGCTTTTCAGGGTCCTCAAACTAATGTGTGTAATCTGAACTCTACTCTTCACACTCTTTGCTTAATGTGGTAAAATGATATTGCTCTTCATTGCAGATGAGTGGCAGAATTTTCTTGCTCGGATTGGCCGCGATGAAAATGCAATTGACTCAGAACTTTTTGACAATCCCAGTGATATCCTTGAACTTCAGTTTTGGGCTTCATACCGAGGACAAACTTTAGCTAGAACTGGTAAATGCTTTCTATTTTTTGCGATTTTTCTTCACTTAATCTTATTATTGATTTGATAATAGTCAAAAAAGTATATCTTATAAACAAATTAGGATGAGGTGTTCTTTTGGAAAAAGCAGAGAAAACACAAGGAAATGCAATTAAACATCCAGGTCACCTTGAAGCTCAAGTGGGCTAAAAAACATTCCTTAACAGCAAGCAGATGTTCCCTTCTGGCTGGAGCTTATGCTTCCTCATTATCTGATCTGAGAATTTATGTGTGCCTTATTTTTGCCAAAATCGACATTTATTATTCTAAAACCTAACAATAATTATTTGAGAAAACCAACCCTTCTATGTACTGCTTGATACTGAATCCAGTACTCGCTGGTCTAAGTGAAATCAAATGCAATTTCTCCATTATTGTCTCTATTGGGTCTATTAAAACGCCCTCTAACTTCTCCATTATTGTTTGCATTGACCCAATTATATTGTCATTAATTATTTTTATTTTGTTATTTTCAGATATTTTCGCAGTAGTAGTTTGTTTCTTGTGGAATGCAGGCGTGTAAAGATTATTACTAACTTTTGTTTTTGTAACCCACGGAAGAATCATAACGAAAACTTTTGTTTTTGATTTACGTTATTTAGATTTGTGAACAACATTATGTATATATTATGCAACATTATGTAGTGGGATTATTTTGTTGATGTATTGTTATGAATGGAAGAATATTTTAATTATGGATGAATTTTTATTTATATACTGGACTTTGTATACTATTATGTAATTATCGATTTTTTTTTTAGTTATTTTTCATTTAATACAAGTGATTTTCATATTTTTAATAATTTTAATACAGCTTTTTTTTTTTTTTTGAGATGGTAGCACACACCGTTTCAAAAAAAAAAATGAACCAGGGTTTTTTGCGACGGCCCTTTACTATCGCAAAAGATAGGGAATTGGCTGAAACGTAATGCCTTTAGCAACAGTTTTATGGGTTTTTTGTGACAGCAGTAATGCTGTAGCAAAAGATAGGGGGATTGGATGAAAAGGAAGACCTTTAGCGACGGTGTTATTTGCCGTCGCCAATAGTACTTTATCGACAGCATCAGGTGCTATCTCGAATAACCCTTTAGCGACGGTATTTTTGCCGTCGCAAATAACCCTTTTAGCGACGACAACACAGTGCCGTCTCAAAAAAACTCAGATTTTCACGCGTTAATGTCGACAGTATTTTTTCGTCGCAAAAAGGCATTTTTGCCGTCGCAAAAAAAAGGCGACGGTGTTATACCGTCGCTAAAACCTTTTGCAACCTCTTTTGTTGCGACCCCCCACTTGTCGTCGCAAAAGGCCAGTTATCATCGCAAAAAACCTTTTGAAACGGCGTTTTGCCGTCGCAAAAAAATAATTTTTTTGTAGTGAAAGC